TCTTATGTTTAAAGAGCTTATTTACAACCCATATACCTTTTCTGTTAGCTTACGAGTACAGGGTATTTTTGGGCAAGACAAAAGACAAAGACGCGCTCTTGGAACCGATCGAGAAACTTGTTTAGCACGCGTTACAGCGGCTGCCTGTTTTTCAGAGCGGGGGCTTTTTCAAACTGTTTGTGGTCGGTCACTCCACGGAGCCCCCAAGCCCCCAAGCGGGTAACCCAACATATACCATCGATCCATACATATATATATATATATATATATACATATATATAGTATAGTATTGCAGGGTCTTTGGTATATATTAGTTTACAAACAACAAGAACTTTGAGGCTTTAACTGAAAGCTATAAGTGAAGATCATCTTAAAGTTGATATTTTATTATTTACATACTGTATTTGAATTATTATATATCTTCAAGATTTAAGATACCAATTAAACCTGCAGAAGACCAAAAATAAAATCTAAAATCCAGGCTTACTTTTGGCCTTATAGTATAGGGTTTAAGTCATCCCGAATTAAAGCCAAGAAAGACAGGGGAAAAAAAGCATCACTGCGTGGGCTCATTGTGGAATTTCTACACTCATTCTTGATTGTTTCGTTTCGTTTTACGCTCTGGGCCAAATGTGTTTTGGGCCCCTGCATTCCAGCTGAATTGGTTTTGGCCCAGAGTGTGGAGAATATACCAAAACAGAAATCTCTTTCGACCTGGCCAAGCCCGAACCCGTACTCAAAATGGGATGGCAGCAGCAGATAATAAATTTGAATTTCAATAAATTATTTCGTTGCTACAAGACAGGGCCCAGAAGACTGACTCTTCTTTCGATTTGGTTTGGGCCAACTTGAGTGGCCATTGGACTCTTCTCCTCCACTTCATTGTATGCTCTTCTCTTTCCGTTCCATTCCCTTTTGAATGGTCAAATGTCCAGATCTTTGTGACTCTTGCCATGCGTGAATTTCATTCAACAAAAATTGTCTGCTTAGCAATTTCTTTTTGGCAATGTCTTCTTTTAATTCTTTTTTATTTTTATTTATATTTGTATATATATATATATTTTTTTTTTGTTAATTCTCTTGGCCAAGGCTGTGCGTACATACCAAGATCGGCCGTAGTTATGGTCTGATGAAGTGATCAGGCCTTGACATTGATCAAATGCCAAGAGCACACACCATGGCGCTGTGGGCGTAGGAAACACCATTTTACCTTGTTGGAATTAAAAAATGGAGATGTATTTAGGAAATGGGCGGAAATAGTGATAAATAAAATGGGTATCTTTGGACAAGAACAAATTTAAATATCAAGTAATTAGAGCTTTTCAGTGTTTTAATTTATACTTTTAAGAAACTAATTTAAGTTTAGTCCAAAAATGTCTGATATGAATATATAAATAATAAAATTTAAATAAAAAAAAATAAAATTATAATACGTTTCCAAAGATTTTTTACATTCTTTTAGTATAAGCCATAAATAAATATTTAAAACTACAATATTGCTCATATTTCAATGCTCAAAACTTAAGCCTATTTATTTTATTAGAAAACTATTTCCTCACTGATTATTTAATCATTGATCGATAGGCAAAGGTGCACCAGTAGCCCTTTTAATATTCATTATATACATTTGTTATTGGCTTGTTTGGCTCCATGAATAATTACAAACTCGAATGATCAAATTAATATTGGGTTAATGAATGAATCGCCTGCCAGAGAGTCCACTATCAGTCCAAAAAGATCACCAAAGACGAGCAAAGCTACTGAATTGGGTTTCGAAAAGCGACTTCAGAGCGATGATCCTCTCAGCCGGCTTAAGACCATTTAGAGATACGAATTTCCTGCTCCTCACAGCTTGATATCTGGCGTATAGGCCTCAAAGCAGATATATATTTATATATATATATATATATATAACCATATATAATGCATACAAGTACCGGGACACCTGAGGAGCGTTGGAGCGTTGAATCGTTGCCGTTCGTTCGACGGACATAATCCGGCAGCAGCATTAATTCATGGAAATTCCGTCAAAAGAAATTTCGAGCTCCCTCGAAGAGCAAACCCCTCTCGCAGACACACACTTGGTAACCAGTTTTAAGTTTCTTCTTCTATTTATTTATTTTAGTTTTTTTCTTCTTTTTTTGGCAACGGCGTCAAGTCAACTGACAAAGCTAACAAACAACCTTCGTCATTAGCCAAACTATGGCATGTCAACGAAAATTAGCATTTTTACAGCGGGAGGCCGGGCAACAACAACCTAAGTCTATGAGTACAACTACACGGGGGAAAGTTATATAGTAAATTCTTAAATTTCATTTAAAAATTAAATATTTATTGGCTTGGAAAAATATATACCATTTTTAATGATTTTGGGGAACAATGCTTGTGTGAATAAATGCATCATTCTCAATAAATTTATGAATATATAATAAAATAAATAATATTAATATATTAAGCCATATCTTAAACAAATATTGTAGATATTCAGATATCTATTTTTTTGTGTGTACAAAATATATGTAGGGGGCATATAGCTAGCCCGATTTACACTTGGAGCTAAAGACTGTAAGTTGTGAGATGTGAGCTGAGATGCGTAGGTAAAAAAGCCGACTTCAGTCCGCTTGATGAACTATATCCACTTTATACACGTTTCCGAGGCACACACCACGCCATGTGTTGTCTCATTTTCTTGTTGTTAGTAGTGTGTGTGTGTTTTTTATTTATTATTATTTATTACTGCTGTTGTTGTTGTTATTGTAGTTGACCGGCGTCTCAGCCGCTGCCTACGCATCTTTTGCAATTTCGTTTGAAACGCCCACGCCTTTAAGTTTTAGCTTAGAAATAAACAGCCAAGCCAACCTACAAATTCAAATTAAAGTTGTATTCGCATTATTTGCTATATTTTGTGAGTGCACAGGAAAAAAATACTGATCAATATAGCCACAAAAACATTTATAATATCTGAATTATGGTCTTCTTAGAACTATATACCTAATTACTTTTTATTTTGCCATGTTTCTCGTATCATCGAATTTGTTTGATCACTTGTTTATAGCAAAGATCTATCAGTTTCTGAAAAAAACACCGTAAAAATGATCAACTTAAATTCAAAAGCAATAAAAATAATGCAATTAACTAAGTGAATTTAATTGGTTGTAAGTTGATATATATTGTAGCATACTTTTCAGCACCACTTCAATGGATTTCTTATTTACGGCCTTTTCTTTAGCAATTATTGTCTTATTTTCTAAATATCTTGTTGTAATTTCAAAACATTTTCTTCAAGTGCATTTTGTTGGTTGTGTCTACGATTCGAAATCAGCTCTCGTGGGCTTTATAGCCATAGATATATAATACAGTTTAGAGCCAGCCCGCCCGAGTGTCTGCCACATTTACCGCCGTCACCGTTGCCGCTCTCCAGCCGGCTATCCATCTAAGCCAGCCTATCTCCAGGTATCCGTATCTGTATCTGTATCTCTATCTCCATCTGTATCTGTATCGGAGTCGGATCTATCCGGCCATCGGTTAAACCTCTAAAGTGCCATAGATTATTATAACACACGCGCTATGCGACTGTGCTGCGGTTAGCCGCAAAACTCAAAACCGAAACAGAGACTCCATCCGAGAGATCCAAAGGCCCCACACGAGCTATAGACTATATATATGTACATATGCTCCCCCGATTCCCTCTGGGATGCGTTATGCACACACAAATTGTGGGTGGGGAGGAACTGCAGTGCGAATTAAAGAAAAGCTGCTGTCAACAAAGCAACGGTAAAGAAAATGAATGGGAGGAAAGCCCACAACGGAAATGGCAAATGTAAAAAATAAGTTATGGTAGGTGGGATGTGGTAATAATAATATTTAAATAGGGGGCTGGGTCCTACAACAACACACCTTAAATAGTTCTAATTCCTTTTTTTGCAGTCATCATATAAGGTGGCCCAGGTGTAATTCCTTAATGGTTGTGACCGTTTTTAGCTTTTCCTTTATTATTATTATTTAAGGGTAAGGGTTTCCTTTCGAAATCAATTATATTTTAAGCTTAAGTTTTAATAATAATTTAAGCAGGTTAAAGCCTCATTTATAAATTTTCTATACAAATAGTAAACAGACTTTTCTCTGCCACGCAATCAAGCCAAAAAGTTAGTGAATGGAATTGTAACAGCCACAAACTGGGGGGAAAATATGACAAAATCATAAAGCTGAAATGGCCACGCCTATTTTTTTTCGAGAGGAGGGGGACGAGGAGGGAAGTTGCACAGACACATATTTTGAAAGTGCTGCCAAAATGCAGTTTAATCACCTTCCAGAGAGGCGGCGGCCCACATGGCGAGCCCAAAAACGCAGCCCACACCAAATATGCACATTAGAGAGCACGTAGTGAAAGAGTGGGTTAAGGCCGGGGGCGTTGAGGGGTTAAGAGGGGCGGTCGATTGCTAGGAGAGGGTGAGGGGAGGCAGTGGGATCGCATCGATCAAACAGCGGACTGCAGATTTAATTACCAGACTCGTTGATGCACTGGGAAATATACATATATAAGGAGAAAATAAACTATATGAAAGCCGAAGTTTGTATTAATATTTTAATACTTTGATTTATATTTTAATATTAAAAATTTTCTGCCTTGTGCATATGAAAAAATGGCAGTTAAATATTTTTGTACATTTTGTTCTTCAATATTTTATTATATTTATACAAAAATGTTTATTGCAATCGAATTATTTTTTACTTTTAGCTATCATTACTCCATTCAAAGCCTACTTAAGCAGCTCCTCAAATTATATTAATTAATATTAGTTGTAGTTGGGTAAAATACTTATAATAATCAGACGAATTAATATTGAATTTAATTCTTAAGAATTATGAGCTCCCTAAGCCCTAAAGCACTTGACCCATGTCCCATAAAAAACACAGCTTTGTTTGTTCGTTTGTTACTTTTATTTATTTTTAATTATTCAATATTTAATTCTTATTACTATTATTTTCGTTATATTTCTTACAACTTAAGCTTAAGTTAATTTTTTTCGGTGCCTTTGCATTTTCACTCGCCTGGCAACAAGCCGAAGCGAAAATGAAAGCTTGAAAAGAGTCGCCAACGTCGCCCCAGTGGTTGCCTGCTCCCTGCTCCCCGACCTCCGCATCTCCTCCAGATTTGGGCGTCCGACGCCGCTGCCAACGTCAACGCCAACGCAGCGAGACGCGCGCCGCCAACGTTGAATGAAATTTCATTCACAAAAATTCAGTAAAACGAATCCAAAAAGGCAATGGACACAAGTCACGCATGCGCGGTTCGGAGTCGATCGGATTGTATGCTATATGGACAGAGGCAGTGGCAGAGGCAGACGTCCACGAGGGAGGAGGGGGGGAGATCGCAGCAGATCGCAGAAATTACAGCGAAAAATATGCAGCATGTCTGGGCGTCTCGCAAAAGTTGTTGCCCAACCGGAAGTATTAAATTCCAATTATGGCGACAAGATATTCGCTTCGTCTCTCCATCTACATACTATACTACATATACATATATACCTATATATATTAATATATATTGCTTATGAATTGATTTAAAATCGTGAAGATCGGGTTAAAGGAAGGAGCTGGGGCAGACGATCTCCGCTAGCTGCTGCCTACGACCTCCATCAGACGCCGGCGCAAACGCTGGCGCACATCATCGAACTCGGGCAGCGGCACCAGGTTCATCTCCTCGCCAGAGTCCAGTCGATGATCGTACAACTCCTCGCCGTACACATCATGCCAGTCTGGCGATATTAAATGCAGAAATAATTGAATAATTAATTAAACTTCCTTATTTTCTTCTTAAAAAGAACTTACCTCGACTAAAATTCTGTGCATGAAATCGCACCCATAAGGTATACCTATAAAGATCGGTTCGCAGGCTATAGCCCATGATCTTGATGTTGCGCAGCTTGGGTTTATCGCTATTGGGATGCTTTGTGGGCAGCATACCAGGCCTGGGATACTGACTCAGGGCCACGTGCTCATCAGCTGGAAAGTAAACCAAAATATAACTAGGAAACCCAGCACATAAAATCCAAAGAAAAGCTTACCCAGTCCAACGCCCATCAGTTGAAAATACAAGCTCTTGCCCTCGCCGCAGGTCAATTCCGGAGGGTCCTCCTTACAGGCGGGAAGGGCAGGCAGACCCGCCAGATCCACTAGAGTGGGGAATACGTCCAGGAGCTCTGTGATGCCGTGATAGAACTTCGTTTGACTCAGGGGAAACTGCGGGCTTCTGATCATCAGTGGAACCCTCAGGGCCACCTCGAAGTTGCTATACTTGGCCCACTCGGCATGCTCGCCCAGGGACCAGCCATGATCACCAAGTACCACCACCACCGTGTTCTCCAGATCCAATCCCGTTATCAGCTTGCCAAACAAATCGTCCACATAGGCCACTGAAGCGTAGTAGCTCTGTCGGATCTGGGCGGCCTGATGCCTGGCAATGGGTCCATATGGAAAGGAGATATTTGAGTGCTTAAAGTCATCCCTGGCGCGCACATCTGTGTAAGGATTCCAGGCCACCGCTGGCATATTCGGTGGCTTCAGGCGGTCCTCCGTGTAGTTGAAGAACTGAGACAACGGAAATCTGGAGAGGAACTGCTTTGGAAAGCGAAAGTTAATGTGCGGCTTGTGGAAGCCCATGGCCAGAAAGAAGGGCTCTCGTTTCCGGGTCTTACGGCTCTCCACGAACCGCAGAGCCTCCGCCACAGACTCAATATCCGGCAGAGTCTTGTACGGCTGCGTTTGCAGCTCCACAGGGCAGATGAGATTCTTCCGGAGAATGCCCTCCTTATCCGGACAGACAGGTGAGTTCATAAACTGTTCGGTACGTGGACGGAAGGCTGGCACTGACCAGCTCAATGGATAATCATCCGTGTTATTCGATGAGAGTCCCGGATGAAAGACCTTCCCACAGCTGTAGGTGTAGTATCCGTGCTCCTTGAAGTACTGCGGCAGGGTGGTGAAGTTTCCGGTGAAAGTGCGCCAGTAGCTGTAGAAGTCGTACAAGTGCAGCGTATCCGGACGTCGACCTGTGAGCAAGGAATTCCGGCTGGGCGCACACAGAGATTGCTGAACCAAAAAATTAAATAAACATTAATTAATTAATCCCATCTCTCGGAAAATAACCCTAATCGTCTAAACTTCGACCCTCACCTGACTGTAGGCCCTTGTAAAGACATGACTTCCTCTAGCAAAGTCATCCAGATACGGAGTGCTGGCCAGTGGATCCCCATAAGCGCCCAGAACTGGACGCAGATCGTCAAAGATCACCATCACCACATTGGGCCGTCGGGGCAGAGTAGCTGCCTGCGCGGAGGTCTCGCCCAGGAGGAAGAATTCCCACAGCCACAGCGAGAGCAGGAGACGAGCAGCAGCAGCAGCAGCGGCGGTCATGACCACGGCAAAGGAGATTCGCGACTGTTGACTCGAAGATGCCGACGACGACGACACGGCAGCGGATGTGGATGCCGGCGATTTTGTTGTGCTACCCTCTGTGCCCATGAACTTTTCCCACACAGGGAATATTAGTATGATTGAAATGTGAGGCAATCATTTTGATTTATTGATAAAGCTTTAAAAAACTTATTAACTTAACTTAATATATTTAATCAAATCTTTTGGGTGCAGTAACAATTTTCCGATAAAATTTCAAAATAGAAACCTTTAACAATGATAAAGGATAATAGATATTTCTCAAACTCCTGGAAATTGTAAATTTAAATGTAGATATTTGTAGGAAAAACACATGAGAGGGTATCTCGTGATCATTGCATTTTCCTTTTGGATGCTCTCAACTTGTTTACAGATCTGTGTTTTGTGCCGGAGAACAAGTGCTGAAGGCAAAATACGCGGCACAGTGTAAAGAGCATGGAAAACGCGGACGTAATTCAAAACCGCCCTCCCATTATATTTCAATTGAATTTAACGGAAGCGCGCCTCGACGACGACGACGTCGCTCTCGTATCTATAATACAAAACAGAATACAGTGTAACCTCCGAATCAAAATTGTTCTATATATATGTACATAAAAACTTGCTTCATAGCACTCCTAAATCGTATAATGAAATATCAGATCTGTCACAGAAATAGCCAGAGATTAAATTTGTATAGTATCAAAAAGTATAGAATTTTATTTTAAATTTATCCCTTTGCAAAGTTATTAACACAACTAATTTGAATTTAACCCCATAGCTATTTCTGAGACATCCCTGTATTTATTTTCAGTTTAAACATCATAATTCATAGAACTTTTAGTTTTATAAAATAATTTTTAAATCTAAAGTTTAAAAATATATAATATATGTTAAATAAGCAACAATTTTCCTGGCCAATTACCCGAATATATCAATTGATTATTATAGAGATTTGATTTTTATAATGGAATTTTCATAAAGGTTTATGGAGACTCCACTGTACTGGACACTGACTGGAAATCGGGGACAGACCTCAAACTGGCCATGATTCATATTTACACACAATAGTTAATGGCTTGTGAGCTCTAACGATAACAATAATACAAAATATTGGAGTTTTGTGATACGTATATATATATAGAAAAAACAGTCCCAGTAAGGAGTTAATAGTCGACCCCGAATCCCTGGGGAATCCCCTGCTTAAAAGACCGTTCCGCAGTTGGTGCAGCGCTTCTCCCGCATTGCCAGACAACAGAGAACTCCCACAGGGAAGAAAAAGATAGCGCAGCACAGGCCGCAGGCGGAAAAGGTGTCCTCCAGGTAGCCAATGCGACACGCAGGGCAACCACCGATTACAATGATTTCCGTGGGCAAGGTGACCACTGGAGCCACCGTCGCCGGCTGCTGGATAACAACGCTTACCGGAGTCGTCTCGAAAGCTCCATAAGTGGGCATATGCATGTTTGGGGGCGGGGCGCTGGGTGCTCCATGGTGCACGCCTGCAATCAGTCGGGAATCTGACGAATATTCAAAAGTTTACAATTCCGTATTTAGTATTCTTTTTTGATATTGTTCCTACCCTGCGAAGAGGCGTTCATGACTTCGTCGTAGCTCGGCGGTGCAGCGTCTTTGCGGGTTTCTGCCATTCTGACCGGTAAAGCTTTCGCTTTGCGATGACTCACTATCTCTAGTGTGTTTTTAGTGATAACCTAGGTTTTTTTACTCCGCTTAATTGCGTTAACTTAGATTTTAATTTTCTTTGTTTTGCTACTGCAGCTAGCTATCGACTGAACAGCTGACGCGGATAAGAACAATCGGTTTATCGTTAATCGAATAGGAACCGCGTAGTTTTAACTTCAAAGCTCAATTTTTAAGCGTTGTAAATCGAAATCACAGTTAGTTTAATAAAATTTAATAAAAACTCAATAAAAAGTGTGTATTAACAATAGTTTGTCAAAATTAAGCGCAAATAAGTGTAAATTAATTTGGCTTTTTTACTATAAACCAATAGTTATATTTTTTCATTTACAAAAACCTGTAGGCAAACCTATAGTAGCTATCGATTTGACTCTGTGTCAGCGAGGACTTCTGCTTGGCGAGGACCTTCTCAAAGTCCTGCCACTTGATTTCGGTAGCCTCGAAATCCCGTTGGAATGCCTCAATAGCCGCCTCGTTGCACAGATTGCACAGATCCGCTCCGGAATAGCGTTCGGTGAGGGAGGATATGACCTCAAGATCCACATCACCATGGAAGGGCATCCGCTGGGCGTGAAGCCGAAGCAGTGCTAATCGTGATTCTGCATCTGGAGCCGGGACATGGATGAGCTTATCAAAGCGTCCGGGTCGCATCAGGGCGTCGTCAATCATATCCGGACGGTTAGTGGCCGCTACAACTAGTATGTGCTGCTGGCTGCCGCCGCCTACGATTCCATCCATTTCAGTAAGCAGCGTGGAAAGAATCCTTAGCTGAACTTGGCCACCACCGCCGCCACTCGAGACTGTTCTTCTGCCAACAAGGGAATCTGACATTTGGGACTATGAAGATTGAATATTTAGGTAATTTTAAATATGGCTCACTTACCAATCTCGTCCAAGAATATCAAACAAGGCGCATTCTTGCGGGCCGTGTCAAATATCCTTGATATAAATCTCTCTGCACAGCCGACGTATGGAGAGTAAACCTCCGCAGCCGAGGTGGCAATGAATGTCATGTTCGCTTCCCTGGCCAGGCACTTGGCTATGGTGGTCTTGGCGCACCCCGGTGGTCCATAGAGCAGCACTCCCTTGGGCAAGCTCAAACCGAATCGAGCGAATGCCGTACTTTGTCGAAGACCCGCCAAAACGGAAACTTGCAGTGTGCGCTTCAGAGATTCCATTCCTCCAATTAATTCGAATCCCGTTGTCATCTTGGACACTTGCACATCCGTGGCGCGGGAGGCACTTGGCTGCGTTTGGAGCAATGATTGGCGAAAGATTTGATCTACGGTGGAACAGATGTCCGCTTTGGTCAGCCATTCCTGCTGCACGCGTCGCAGAAGGAGTGTTAGATCGGCAATCACATATCCCTGAGTGTTCCTGGCTATGTGATCGAGTAGTAATTCAGAGGTTTGCAGCCCCTGCTCTTGGCAGAGATCCCTCACAATCTGTCTGCGCTGCTCTTCACTGGGCATTTCGATGGAGATTTCCCGCACAAAGCGTCGTCGAGCGTGCTCGTGCAAGGAGCCAGGAAATGCAGAGGTGGCCACACAAATAATGCCCTGTGGCAGTGCATCAATTAGTTTGTATAGCTGTGCGGAAATACGTAGCGAGTTGCTAGCGTCTTTGGCATCCGCGGAGCTCGTCGAGGGGCAGAGCAGCTCTAGATCTTCGATGAGTATCACAATGGGCACTGAAAGTTTAAAAACTTGTTCAAAACTCTGAATTATAACGAAAGTTAAGAATTACATAGCGGACACAGCTGTTCCTTGAATGTTTCTGCCGCCAGGAAGATTCTTCGCAGCTCCTCTTCCGTTTCCCCAGGATATGAACGCATCACCTGGCTAGCGGTGATGTAAAAGCAGTTGCAGCTGTGACGACGCAGGAACTCTCCCAGCAGGCGACTCTTGCCACAGCCCACTGGCCCCACAAGCAAGGCTGTAGTGGGAAATCGGTAAGTGAAGTCGCGCTTGGAGGTCTCTACCAGTTGCTCCAAGGCCTCCATTGGCTGCTGAAAGCTGTGCGGCACGTACCGCGAGGTGCAAACTAAAGGATAAGGCGTCGCTAAACGTGTGTCTACCAGGAGCACCTGCGCATCGCGTGCTATTTCAAAGCACTCATCTGGGAAGACTTCTGGACCATCGAATATCTCAACACTAGAGATCCCCAACTTTGCAAGTCGCCGATGCTGAACGGAGCAACCTCTGGTGAGCTTCAGGTGGCGTAGGAACACCCGCACATCGTCCCGCAGATCCTCCAGCGCAACTTGAGGGCGTTGCAGTAGCACCTCGGTGACCGTGACTACGCAGGGAATTTTCTCCATACTAGAAACCAATTTCAAGGGCTCCAATTGCACCAACCGCTGATTAAAAGGCGAAAATCGGGCTGAGGAGGCCACAATACCATCTAGGAAGCTACAAGTCTCACTGCCGGCACGCGTTGTAACCCAACAAACGGAGTAGCTGCCATCGGAAAGGCGGCAGCGGCACCATCCTGTCTCCAGCACGCCCTTTTCTGCCGGCAAATAACATCGTTGGGGCTGGTGTTCACTGTCATCTAGCAGGGATAGCGGAAAAACCGGAAAATTTAAGTTGCTTTCGAGCATTTTTGCTTTCCTCGCTTGAGGCCGAAAAAATTACTAACGCGTTTTCAGAACGGACTAAAATATGGCAATGCCAAGGGATAATTACACTTCAATAACGCTCCTTTTTCGGGAGTTTTTCGCGTTTTCCCTACATAAAACCACCATATGCGAGGGCATATCTAGAGCTTTCAGCTGCGAGAAATTGCTGCAGGCACGAAAAAAACAGAAAAACTTTGAAGTTCTTCGCGATTAAGAGACTTAAGTGTGACCAGCGGCCCCCAAATTGATAACTTGTACCGCATATCGATATTCAGTACTAAAAGTATCGCATAAAAAGTTCAGCCAATTCTATTCGATATCTAGACAATCGAATATCTTGAAAATTAAGTCAAATTCGGGAGATAGTTCTGGAATTTCGTAGTTTTAATAAATAATAAAGCAGATTAAGCCAAGCAAAGCAGCTAATGTGAGTTTCATCAAAGCAGCCAGTGACTCCGGCTTTTAATTCGAAAGCATTCACTCATTCTTATTGCCTTTTCCCGTAATTTTTATCTTCCACCTGACGACCTCCGCCTGCTCGCCAAATCGTGCGCTAAAAATCACGTATATAAAACAAAATACGAAACAAAAAAGATGTCAGACTGGGACTCTGTGACCGTTCTGCGCAAGAAGGCGCCCAAGTCGTCCACTCTCAAAACGGAGTCGGCGGTCAACCAGGCGCGCCGCCAAGGAGTCGCCGTGGACACCCAACAGAAATGTAAGCACTGCCGTCGCCCCCCTGAGTGTGCGAGTGTGTTGTGACCCCCTTTGCGGCGACACCACTGTCTAACCTAGAAGCACACCTCCTGCTGCATTGCGTGGCATTTGTTGACGTTATTCATGTCACCGGTCGAGCTATTTCACAACTGCATATCGGGCCTTTCCCCACGCTGACCCTGGCTAAGCAATTGATTTTTTTTCCATGTCTCTTGGAACACAGATGGTGCAGGCACCAACAAGCAGCATGTGACGACCAAAAACACTGCCAAGCTGGACCGTGAGACTGAAGAGCTGCGCCACGACAAGATACCACTGGACGTTGGCAAGCTAATCCAGCAGGGACGCCAGGGCAAGGGACTTAGTCAGAAGGACTTGGCCACTGTAGGTCCTAGTTATTAATACAAAAAAAAAGAGCAAATAGTTTGTATTTTAGATCCTAGTTTGGCTTGGTCCAGTTAGTTTTTTATACATTAATTTTGTTGGTTGCTCTACTTTCACTTATTCAAAACTAATCTCCATTTGTATTTCATAGAAAATTTGCGAAAAGCAGCAGGTGGTGACCGATTATGAGGCTGGACGCGGAATTCCAAACAATTTGATCCTCGGAAAGATGGAGCGCGTGCTGGGAATCAAGTTGCGCGGCAAGGAGCGCGGCCAACCAATAGCGCCTCCCGGTAAGAAGTGAGACGATGCTGCCGCGTCCGCCGCAGCTAGTGGTGCCCTACTTACACACACCTCAGCCAACAGCACAACCAAAACATCAGCACCACAACAGCAGCCACACCGACATAGGGAGCAACACCATCAGCAGGAGTCTGGGGGCTGGAGCACGGTGAGCGGCAGACGCAAATGAAGCATTATCGGGAGGCTGTCGAACCAAATCAAATCGGGTCACAGCAGCAGCAGCAGTAACTGCAGAGAGGAGCAGTAAAAACCCAGCAGCAGAGCAACAAAGCAACCGAATATCCAACTAATAACTAAGCCACTATGAGCGCCAATTTCGTAAATGTTTATTCCAAACCACAGAAATTAAAGGAAGACCGAGGCTCTTGGCCTTGTCAATCCTTTTTCTTTCTACCGTTCAAATTAACCATTGTAATTACCCAAAAATACACATAATCACAAGCACACACAATGCTGATACGCAGCAGAAGACGGACGTGAAACGCAACAGACTTATTTTGATATTAGGGTGCGCTCATAGTTTGGCAGAGACATTTTTGGCATTTGAGTTTGTTTTAGAAACTTGATCTATAAGTTATGGAATTAAAAACAGAGACATGAAAGCATGAAAAACACTCGAATTTCTTTCAATCTTCTTATCATCCGCATTACCTACTTAATCCACTTGCATGACCATCCCTCCCAAGCATACACACAACATACATTAATTGATATATGCGAATTCTTAGAGCTTAGTCGGACTTTCCCTCTCCTTTTTGTAATTTATCGTAAGTGTAAGGGTCCTGAACTGTGCGTTTACCAATGCATTATACATATTATACAACAAAACATATGCTAAATGTATTTAGAAACATTTTCTAGTCTACAAAACAAAATATTTAAATATTTAAGCGATATAATGATGGCATTTCCCGAATGTTTATTTCCCACTGACCTTATACTGACCAGTTGCCGGATGGAAGGCAACTAGGGATTGGAGAATGTCAGAAAGGTAATACATATTCCCAATGAATGACTCCCTTTTTTGCACGTGATTAAATCGTAATTATCAAATAAATGTTTTTCTGCCATCTAAGCAATATCTGAATGGTAATTACCCAAAGCAGTTTTACTGGGAATAAGAAGCTGTTTTATCATACGGCATGGTTGGACACCGAAGTCAGGACAACTTAAGATATTCTTTAAATCAGAAAGAACATATAAAACTTAAAAGCCGTCCGCAACGGCATATGTTTAATTATTCCCTAAATAGCACAAATTTGTAGGTTTTGTTTTTAAAATATTGAACTAATTAGTTTTGTTCTTTGGCCCATTAATTAGAGAATTCAAGGCCCGCTTGGCCTAGGCGATGGCTTGGTCCGGTATCTCGTTGGCCGCAGTCTTTTCGATAAACAACTTCAAGGCCCTCTCCAAGTCCCAGTCCGCTTGCTCCACAATCGATGTGCACCAGGTGGAAATAAGTCCGGTTATATCTTGGAACATTAGCAGCTTGTAATCCTTGGCATCGACAGAGTCCTCTTCTAACGAACGTTCTCTGTGATCCGGATAGTTAACTTTGAAGGCGGACCTGATCATTTTGCTGCTGGGATTCATGATGTTAAAACGTTCGTTGGTGATCCGAATGCGGTGTGCCCCCTTGCTAATGCCCTTTAAATAAATATCTTTAAAATAAATATGTATATATTAAAGAAAATCTCTCTTACCAGGCCCTCGCCCTCAATCTTAATCACAAACTGCCGGCTAAAGGCTAAAAAGAAGTCGCTGTTATCTCGGGTGACTGGTGACTCGTCACGGAGCAGACCGGTTACATTGATGACCGCCGACTTGCCATCGTAGTGCATCACGTCCGTTTGTAGGGAGTGGAAATCGTGTGTGACCTTTGGCAGCTGCATCAGGACGTCCATGATCTCCGCGGTGCCCACATGAACTCCATTGGCCGCCCGCGAAATGTCGCGATTGAGCAAATTTCGGGAATGTGTGCTGTATTTGGAGATGCGACGAATGAGGTGACCATTTAAGTAGCTGCGGGGCATCGTGTAGCTGCTGGTCATTGTGAAGAGCGAGTCGTCTGAATAGTATTTAAGCAGATTGGCCCGCTCCTCCGGGCACTCGAACTCGCGCAGATAGTCTCTGAGAAAGACGTCGCCGACCAATTCGTAGGCGGCGATATCGCAGAGAAAGTCCTTCTGCGGCGCCTGGCCCGGATTCGTTTGCAGATCCACGCCATCTAACGTTGTTAACTGAGGAAACATCTGCGTAACCGCACGAACATATTCACTGGCCAGGCAGTAGTTGCGACAGAGTGGATTCCCGTGAAGAACCAAAGATTTCAGCGGCAATTCGCCTAGGGATTCGATAGCGGATAGCTCGTGGAGCCAGTTGTGGCTAAGATCCACGGCTCGCAGGTTGCCCATCCGTCGCAGGACATGAGCTTTCTGCACAGTCAATATCTTGTTATTGCATAGCCGGATCTCCGAGCAGTTCGCCATAAACTGCTTCGAGGCCACTATCAAAACGTTGGTCAGAATTTTTGGCGAGCTGAGGTGCACAACCACGTTTCGGAGGCTCTCGCTAGACTGAAACTGATCGAGATCGAGCAGCCGGTTTTGGGCGGCATATCTACGTTCCACCGCTTTTCTGATACACTCCTCCGGCACAACGTGTTGTTTCTTGAAGGTGCTCACGTTCATGCGCAGGTAGTAGCTAAAAATTCGCTTCTCGGGATACATCGGCATCGCTGGTATCTCCATCTGGAGCTTGAAATTGTTCACCAGGTTGGCAATCTGATCGTAGCAGTTGCAAACGAGAAAGATGTGCTCACCACGATCGTACTGAAACAGTTTATAAGTTTACAGATTGGCAGATCAGAAGGTCGAACAAAAACTTACCTTGTAGTAGCAGGGATAGAATTCGCTCAAGTTGGGATCCACGTAAATGAAAAACATATTAAAAAACGACTCCTGCTGGAACTCGTGATGGGGATCTGGGACCTATGAAGGTAATTCATGCAAATTTATCAATATTAGGGTCATTTTGTATCGCCACTTATATATAATAAAATAGTAATCTATGGGTACCTGGCACCATAAATAAATATATATATATATAAAGGTAAATTTACAAGGAAGTCCTGGTAGAGACCGAATTCATTACATCCCATAAAGACCGCTTTTAAAAAACGGAATTTCAGGAAAATGAAACCTACCAGAAAGGCATGCCATTGTTGGCTATGCTCGAACTGAGACAGCTGGAACGCGTTCATTTCGTCAATTCGAGTTCCATCCGCGTCCAGATCGATCTCGCCGTCTAGCGGGGAATAGGCCTTGTGCAACTTGTTAAATGGCAGTCCATTCTAGGAAAATATTAACGGATCTGTGGGATTACCCTGGTGTATGACCATGTGGATAACTTACCACCATTCGAAAGTTCTTTTCCAGCGACTTAATGCTGCCCGGAAATTTACTGCTCCTGGCAATGGGATTGCGATCCAGGCGTAGTTCTCTGGCCCGAAACTGCGCCAAGTCTCGGCACAAGCGCTCCGCCGATCTGATCTGGAAGTGCAAAATTAGTTTTCTTTCTAAACAGGAAGCACCTTAAATCTTAAAACGTACCTTATTGCCGCTCAGGTCAAGCAGAGCGTAGTCCACGTTCGAGAGGAGGCTCAGATGTCGTACTTCGCGTATTTGATTGTTCGTCATAATGAACCCATTTACTCGACTACAGGCGGGATCGTTGCGGATCACCTGGCACACGTTCATCAGAATGGCTGGATTGCCCAGACTCACCACAACGTTACGGAACTCCGGTAAGGCCCCAAAGTTGTCCAGATTGAGAAGTCCGTCCACTCCGTTCTGCTGCTCCAGTCGCTTCAGCAAATTATCCAGTACGCTGGCGATGAGAAAATGCGGTGATATTTGTCTCATGTTGGACTCGGCCACCGCAAGCTGCACTCCGATCGGAATCGAGGCGCCGGTGCTCACGCTGATGGTTAGGGACAACTTGAAAAGATTGTCAATGGCCTGTTTGCAGTTGCGGGCAAGGAAGGTGTCCTCCCGAGTTCCACGCTGAAAATGATTGAATCCTTTAACAACCCTTTTTTCCCTAGCGATGGGGAACACCTACCTGATAATGCACAGGATAAAACTCGGCCCCGTCCACCGCCTCGTAGAGTGCCTCCATGATTACATGCTGCGGATTGGGCAGGTACTCCAGCTGGCCGCGGTGGTGAACGGTGAACTCGTTCCAGCTAAGGCCCGGGACCCGATCGCCGTAACTAGAACAATTGGAGAAGATCCGGGTGTCCGGATAGTCCAAATGTATGGGCTCCGTGCCGTCGCCAAAGTCCAGGACACGCCTCTGGCCTGGCATCGCGGAGTCTTGTTTAATTGTGCTTCCTTCAACGCTTATTATTTTTTACAGTTGCAATTCAGATCCTCATATCCATACCGAAGCCGCGAACAGTGTTGGTAAACAGCGCAAGTTGATTTGAATTCTTAAAAAAAATTCGAAAGGCAATACAACTTAACCTGCAACCTTTTTCTTCGACTGTAGGTAGCCTCGAAGGAAGTCTCAGGATGTCCTTAAACGCCTTCCCCTTCAGATCGTTAGCGTGACATCCGTTCCCGAGCCGTATGCAGTGCTAGGAAACATTGTAAATCCCGTTTTAAATTTTTTTTAGCAAAATTCTGATGGAGTGCAGATCAGAGCCACCAATTACTTCGATTGCCGGAAGACTACTGATCCGAGGCGGAACCTACCGACCCTGAGAGAACCCAGGCCACCTTGGAATTTCTGCCTACATATGCACTTTCTCAATCAGAGAGGGGAGGCGGCAGGAAACCCGATCCTACGTGCTGAGCAATTTTACTGAGCGACTCTCTAAACAAAACAATGTTTATTTGTTTAATGGCTTAATGGCTACAAGTCTTTTGGAAAGATGTGGAGAGATACATATCAGATACGTATTATACTACTTCTTGGGAGTCTTCTTCTTGGCGCTGGCGTTGGCGATAGCAGTGGCCTCCTTTTTGCCCTGGTACAGACCGGTGTAGTAGCCTGACATATACCAGGCGGTTAGCATGGCAACAACATCCTGCTCGCCGCCCTCGTTCTGGGAGGTGAACATGGGGGGGAGCGGTGGCATGGGCGGCATTGTCTGCCAAGCGCTTCCTCCGGCAGGGGCCTTGCCCTTTCCCGAAGACGACTTCTTCTGGCTTTGGACTGCGGAGGCAGAAGTCGATGCCTTGAAGCGGGCCGTCTGCTCTTCACCTGCCTCCTCGTTCTTAGCTGCTAGAAACTGTTCTCGACGAACTTTTTTGCCCCATGAGGGGAGTAAGTCCTCCATTGGCACCACCTGCTCGTTCTCGTAGCCCAGGTAGCGGATGGTGCAGCTCTCGCCCTTTTCGTCCACGGAAACCACGACGCCCTCGTAGTCCAAGCCATCAATATAAGTGGCGCGAGCGAAGTCGCCGGTCTTGAAGACCATTGGCCCGGGGCTGATAGGCAACGAATCCTCGGCAACGGCGGCTTCAGCATCTGCGTTTTCCTCTTCACGCTTGTTTGTAGAATCGGCCAACCGTCGTGCCAATGCTTCGCGGGCTAGGCCAACGTTTTCATCGTAAAACTTCACCAGCAGTGAGTCGTCCCACGCGGCGGTGTTTACCTCGTCCGACATCTTGCTAAGTTATACTCAATTCTTTAACAAAATGAATTCTGGACGCTTTTCGTTGGCGAAGGGCCGAAATATTAATGTAAGTGTTGCACAACGCAGCAAAGTGCCGATTAAGACGTATATCGACCAGAGTTATATCGACTATTGTATTGAAGCAAAACTTAATATAGAAGAATAATGTAATTCTTATTTCGATTATCTTTTGAAGGAAGAGTTAAAAATCCCTCTGCCCAAAGGGGCTTTATATCGATATATATTGTTATATATATCGCGCACGGTCACACAGCACAGTAACTTCCATCACTAGCGCAAAAGCGAAACTCATCATCCAAACTAAAATCTGTGTTTAACTCAATTTAACCGGAGTTATGGCAAACGTGGAAGCACTTTACAAAGAACTGACCGTCGAGTGGGCAAAGCGACCCCCAAATACCACGCGGTGTGGTCAGCTGCTGGACCAACTAAAGGTTGCCCTGGTGAAGATGGCTTTCCTGCCCACCGACGGAAGCGATGCACAGAACTCAAAGAAGCAGCTGTTGCTGGCCAGAGGTGTTCTCGAGGTAGCCGTGGAGCACAGCGTTCTCAGCAAGGATCTGCTCGCCTTCGAGCGCTACATGGCGCAGCTGAAGTGCTACTACTACGACTACGCCAAGATCATCGGCGAGTCGGAGAGCAAATACAAGCTGCTGGGCCTCAATCTGCTTTATTTACTGTCCGGAAACCGGGTATCCGACTTTCATACAGAGCTGGAGCTCCTCTCGGTAGACGTCATCCAACACAACCAGTTCATCCGTCCCATCCTGGCGCTCGAGCAGTACATCATGGAGGGGCGCTACAACAAGATCTTCCAGGCCAAGTCCACGGTACCCGCTGAGATATACAGCTACTTCATGGACCTTCTGGTGGAGACTGTGCGCGACGAGATCGGCGCCTGCATTGAGAAGTCGTACGAGAAGATATCTGCCAAGGATGCGGCCAAGCGCCTGAACCTGCGGGTCCCAGATGAAATAAAGGCATTCGGTGAGAAGCGACAGTGGAAATTGGAAACCAGCGGCGACTACAGCTTTACAGACCGCAGCGTTAAGCCCAAGGAGCTGCTGCCATCCGAGGAGCTGGCCGAGCAGGTGCTCAGCTATGCCCGCGACCTCGAAATGATAGTCTAAGAAGTCCCCCGCACAGCTTTTAGTGTTTGATATATCTTAAAAAGTTAATAAATATAAAAGTAACATTTAATAAATATTAAAGTCTATGCTTCATTTTTTAGTATGGTCCAGCATAGAACTTGTGGACAAATGTTAAAATTTAGTTTATCAAAACTGTGATCACATATTCCGTGACTGTGATTTAAGTGTGGCAGTTAGTTTTCTAATTGAAAGGGGGATTTGTAAAACTCTGTGCGACGGCCACACTAGCGCGAACGACAGCGGAGTAAAAATTTTCGCTCTGCGATTATTCGTTAATTGCTTAAAAAGCAAAAATAGAAGAAATTAGAACATAATACACGAAATGGCCTGCAACGCTAGTAAGACGACGCTCCTGCGCACCATTGCCGTAAGTCTCGACTTAACCAACAAAAGTTATGGCAACGAAGCCTCCCACAGGGAGCTCGTGTTACGTAAATCGTTGTAAAAGTCTCTATCTAAACAAATGCGAACGCTTAAGGAATAATACCGATCTCGTCCTATTTTCCGGCAGAAACGAGGCTATGCCACCTGCCCCCGTGCCGCGGGCGACGTGTCCCCCGTGAGTGTGAAGGTTCTGGAGAACAAGCTGGTGGTGGCCACAGCCGACGCAACCGTTCCAGTTTCGCGCGTGTCGCTGGTGCTGGGGTAAGTCTGAACCTAGATCGCCTGTATTTGGAGTCTCCTCTAATATATTCCTTGCAGCGCTGGCTCCCGCAACGAGGCCTACGACACCCAGGGCGCTTCGCATCTGCTCCGATTGGCCGGTGGTCTGAGCACCCAGAACTCGAGCGCCTTCGCCATCGCCCGCAACATTCAGCAGGTGGGCGGCACCTTGACCACCTGGGGCGACCGCGAGGTTGTTGGCTACACGGTGACCACCACTGCAGACAACGCTGAGACCGGACTGCGCTACCTGCAGGATCTCCTGCAGCCTGCCTTCAAGCCTTGGGAGTTAAAGGACAACGCCAAGACTCTGCTCAACCAGTTGGATGCTGTCTCCACGGAGGTACGAGTGCACAAACCGTATTCCTAACGACGCCTATTAATTTCTCGATACCTTGCAGCAACGCGCCATTGAGCTCGTCCACAAGGCCGCCTTCCGTAACGGCCTGGGCAACTCGATTTACTCGCCCCGCTTCCAGCTGGGTAAACTGTCCACTGAGAGCCTGCTGCACTTCGCGGCCCAGAACTTTGCTGCCGGCCGTGCTGCCGTCGTAGGCGTTGGCATTGACAACAACACTTTGGCTGGCTTTGCCCAGACCCTGCAGTTCCCTAGTGGCGGCGGCAAGGCTACTTCTGCCAACTGGTATGGAGGGGATGCCCGCAAGGACACTGCCGGACACAGGGCCGTCGTTGCCGTGGCTGGACAGGGTGGTGCCGCCACTAACCAAACGGAGGCTCTGGCCTTCGCTATCCTGGAGCAGGCTCTTGGTGCCGGTGCTGCCACCAAGCGCGGAACCTCGGCTGGACTCTTTGGCGAGGCCGTTAACAGCGCAGGAGGCAAGGGAGCCTCTGTCAAGGCTCTGAATGCCAGCTATTCGGACGCTGGCATCTTTGGCTTTGTGGTGTCCGCCGATGCCAAAGATGTTGGCCAGACTGTGGAGTTCCTGGTGCGCGGCCTAAAGTCTGCCTCGGTGTCTGACCAGGATGTAGCACGCGGTAAGGCTCTGCTGAAGGCGCGCGTCATCTCGAAGTACTCGTCGGACAGCGGTTTGATTAAGGAGATCGGTCGTCAGGCGGCGCTCTCCAGGAACGTGCTGGAGACCGATGCTCTGCTCAGCGCCATCGATGGTATCTCGCAGTCGGAGGTCCAGGCGGCGGCCCGGAAGGTAGGCGGCTCCAAGCTGGCGGTCGGCGCTATCGGTCACCTTGCCGGCGTGCCCTATGCCTCCGATCTGGCTTAAGTAGATAAAGAAACATCTGTTAACCGTAATGTAACGACACAAAAGTAAAACCTGTTGCAAGGAACGATCCGCGAACTTAGATACTTATAAATCCTATTTAATTAGTGTATAAATACTCTATTGGGAACTTTGGGATAACTATAGAAGAGATAGAGACTTCACATATCAACGGGTAAATAGAAAAAACTGGAATGGCCACTACACGAAAACCACCACGAGAATAGCAACGAACAGGGCAATGATGACCAACCAGTAGCCCCAGGTGCTGTCTCGCCGGTTCACTTGACCGATGCTTTGCGTCTCCCGCTGAACGCCCGACTCTACTCGGTCCATGGCGTTGGCCAGGTTGTCCAGGATGTCTGCGGCGAGATAAAAAAGAATAACTGCATGAGCAAAAGCCAGGCCTACAAAACATTTTACTTACTGTTCTGGTCCTCTACTTCGTTGCCCAGCTGCGTGGCCAGCTCCCGTTGTCGCGAAAGGGTAACCGACAGGGCCTCGAGGCCCTGATCCTGCTGCGCCAGCATCTCCATCTTCCGCTGCTTCAGGGCCTCCGTATCCATGGGTGCGTCGCGGTACGAACTTTGTCCCGGCCGAAGATCCTGGTCCTGCCAGACCGAGCCGGAGCTGGTGTTGGCTACAGCGTTCCGCACAGCAGAGTGCGTGCTGTTTGCAAATTTCTCGCGGATCCCACGCAGCTGAGAAGTGAGTCGGTCGTAGTCAATGCGGCGCTGCTGTAGCTCCTCCTCGGGGCTCGTCTCCCAGGTGATGGCATTGTCCAGCACCACCTTGAGGTGCTTCATATCCTGGCCCAGCTGCTCCAATCCAGACCGTATGCTAGCCGACAGCTGGACGTACTGACTGTCCTTGGGGCCGAGCTGCTGGCGCTGGTTCAACTGCACCAGCAGCTGGTGGCGCAGCCTCTCGCATCCCTCGTACTCGATGTCCCAGGAGTCGTGATCCACCAGCGCCATTTGTCCGTTTGGGGCTGAGTAATGCAATTATTAAAAAAAAAAACTACGCCTCTAAGAGAAGCCAGACAACAAAAACATTCTGCAGAACAAAAACAGCTGATGGCTGCTGGCAAATTCAGGATAATCACATAAAGGCGATTAAGGTCACATTGAAAACTGTCAGAATTATAGATATAAGATATTTTTATTTCTTTATTTTTTCGCGTTATTCTTCCAAATTAAATCATGTTTTCCAAATTCCGACTGTTCAATGGGTTAATTGTAAACACAGCCAGACGAACCTGTTCAATTTACTCCGGCTACCAAAACACAACCAGCAAAAGTCCCACCGTGAACCTGTTGAAACCGGCCAGCCCCTACAGGCAGGCCCGATTTCCATCGACTTTCCAAATCACAACGACCAAGTATTCTTCCTAAAATTAGTTTATGTCCTCAAATTAACTATTCTTACTTACTTAACAGTAATCAAATTTACATTGATGTTCAAGGAAGACGAGCCGTGCTACTTTTTGACCTTCATGAACAAGTGATGACAATAACTCATACCAAAGTCCCCAAAGAACTCGGAGGGCATGGATTTGGCAAGATTTTGGCGAAGGCGGCTCTTGACTTCGCCCTCTCAAATGGGTATTTTTTAAGAGTAAAGTGTGCTTTTGTCAAGCACTACATAGAAAAATATGAACCGCAATACGCCCAGTACATGATATGATAAGGAATTTAAATTCTATAATTGTCAATCAAATTACTAATTGCTTATTTCCTCAAGAACAATTCTGTAATCTAATAAAATAGGAACAATAGCTAACCATAAAGTTAGTTTACACAAGTGTTAATTGCCTTTCGATGCACATAGTTTATTAAGGCTAATAGAGTATCATAAGTTCTCAAATTTGTTTATGATTATGCTAAGTAGCTGGTTTTAAACAATATTGATTTGGCGATTTTAGGATATTTGTTTTTTTAATAAGAAAATTAAGAATATAGATAAAATTACTGAAAACCTTGAACTCCCGCACATAGAATACCCGCAACATATTTTCGTGCACTATCGCGATAGTGCTAAATTTCAAATTTTTGTTACCGTTGTTACTCACCGCTATAACTATCTATAAAAGCTATTTATATTTAAAATATATAGACGTTTTATTAAGAAAAATCGAAATAATGCGTTATTTGCGGCTAAACATATAAAAAGGAAATTATTTTTTAGTCAGCGATCCGGCAACCATTTACTAACACAAGCACATTTTGCGATACGATAGTTGTAACAGGTTCGCAACTATTGTCCATCCCTAGCTCACACGTACACACAATTTAATCGTGATTTCTTTTTATTTGTTTCAAATTACCACTTAAAAACTGAACAAATAAAGCCCCTAAACCGCTGGCCACAATGCCGAGTGCCCGTTTTCCTGTGCGCGGATCTTCCACCTAAGCGGAAGCAAGCTCAACCGCTTTTTTTGGACGTTTTCCGCCCGGGAGTGGGAGAGCGGAAAATCCACAGGCAAGCCTGCTGTAATCGGCAAAATAAGAGGGCTATAATTTAGGAACACAGCGGGAAACAGCACGCACAAACGTCGTCGGAACACCATGGAGCGGCGTGTGAAGCTGAAAACGATCAACCCGCACATCACATGCAAGATCTGCGGGGGCTATTTCATCGACGCCACCACAGTGACGGAGTGTCTGCACACATGTGAGTTGAGTTTGCCGTTGATGTCGCCTGTCCGGCGAGAAAGCACCTCACCAACAACTGTTTCGCCTCTATTTTAGTCTGCAAAAGCTGCCTGGTAAAGCACCTGGAGGAGAAAAAGACCTGCCCCACCTGCGACAACATCATCCACCAGTCCCATCCCCTGCAATACATCAGCTTCGATCGCACCATGCAGGACATTGTGTACAAACTGGTGCCGAAGCTGCAAGAAGGTGTGTTCACGGCTCTAGGATGCACAAAAGTCCATGCTAACCGCCTGTTTGGCTACTTTTAGATGAATCGCGCCGGGAGCGGGACTTCTACAAGAGCAGGAACATGCCATGTCCGAAGGACATAACGCAGAACCACGAGGACGACAACGAGAAGGTGATGGAGGCGCACGCCGAGTCCGATTTCCATCGCCTGGACGAGCAGGTCAATGTGTGCCTGGAGTGCATCAGCAATAACTTTAAGAACCTGCAGAGGCGCTTCATTCGCTGCAGCTCTCAGGCGACGATAACGCACCTCAAGAAGCTGGTGGCCAAGAAGATCCTCAACGGCATTGAAAAGTACCGCGAGGTAGACCGACGGACAGTAATATCTATTCTTCAGGTGTTCTTAAATCTTTTTGTCTCCTACAGATCGACATCCTGTGCAACGAGGAGCTGCTGGGTAAGGATCACACCCTGAAGTTCGTCTATGTGACGCGGTGGCGCTTCAGGGATCCGCCGCTCCGGCTGCAGTTTCGTCCTCGGGTAGAGCTCTAACAACTGGGATAGATATCGCTGTTCGCTGTTTTTAGTATAATGCCACAACAAATGATCTATTTTTATAATTTATTGACAAAGCGTAAATATCGTAATTAGGAGAGAGTCGCTAGTGTTAGTCCCCCGTTCCTCCCAACCAACCAACCAAACCAACCATTTGTACATGTATAAAGTAATTATATGGTTATCCCTCGTAGGATTAAGTAACTTTCTATCTCGTGTGACTGTTTTTTGCCGCCGTCACAATTTGCTCATGATTTAATCAACACTCTCTGTTTGCAATATTTTATGTTCTCTCCCCCGTATATAGTTTCAAATATATTGTATTTATTATTTTAATGTACAAAACACACAGGACTGTAAATAAATTTGTAATTATGTCGAAGGCCAAGTGTCTAATTTGGTCGCTGCCACGCGTTCCTGTAGCTGTAACGGGGTGCTCCTCGAATAAACGGCGCCCGCTGGACGTATCTCCGTGGCCCGGACGATGGGAATTGTGGCGGACGAGGTGGCCTTGGGTATCCGAACCTCGGTGGCGGTGGCGCCATCGGATATGGACCGTACATTCCCTATAAGTGACAAAAAGATATTTATTAAAAAGATTCAAAAGAAATATTCCTTAATTAGTTAACAGTCGTGAGACTATTATTTATGTATATTTACATAGAACTCATGTGCTGGCACTTGTACATAGTAGTTGATGATCTTTGGCGGCGGAGTCCGTGGTCTCCGCTCACTGCTACGACTCCGGCTGCGGTTCCGACTTCTTGAGCGGTGGCGTTGCCTCCTGTATCGGCTTTCCCGTTCCGGGGAGTACGACTTGGAGCGGGAGCGATGTCTGGTTGTCCGTGGAGACCTACGTCGCAATTTCCGATCCCGCTCACGTATCGCATCCGAGAAGTATGGAACCTTGGGTTCCTCGCGCTGCCTTTCTCGCTCGCGATCCCTCTCCCTTGGATACTTCTCCCTTTCACGGCGGGACCTTGACCTGAGCGACTGGAAATCTATGTGAAAAGAGCACAGGATTAGTCATTCCTGTGGGGTAACTATAGATCCATGTGGAAAGCATTGTGCTAGGTCCATTGTCTGGCAATCCTTGTGGTTCGCTCGCTTTCTTCCATTTCACATTTCACTCTTTTGGCACTAGAAAAAAACAACAAAAACATTGTATGCACTTGGCCATATATACTTGGATCCAATCGGATCGATGAGCTATAAATAATATATACCTCGGTGCGCGGATCCGCTGCTATCTGCGTCCATTTTTTTTTATTTTTTAATGTGTTTTAACTTTGTGTATGATAGTGCGATATTTATTCCCAGCGATAGCTCCAGTAATTAGAGCCGGTTGTGTCGGCATATCGAAACCTTTTGTAAATGTATTGACTATCGATATCCGAACGTTAAAATTTAAAATGAGTTCAGATTTGAATTCCATCGCTGGTTTATCAAGAAGCTGGTAAGAAGCTGGAAGAAATCATTTCCGACCCTATTAATCATATATATTCTTGATCAGAATGAACAGCTAAATCGATCTAGCCATGTCTTGTGGGAAAATAAATTGTTGGATATTTTTCCAAAATTTCAAAAAACGATAAGGGGTTACATCATTAAAATTGTCAAAAATTGGCCAAAAATTGAATTTTTTAAATTCAAAAACTGAGTATGCAGATTGGCCCTATAAAAATTAGCACAGAACCGCTTTCCGAATTGAAATTAATGCATTTTTGGCTTAATTATGATGTTTGAAAAACATTGATTATTTAATAAAATTGCCTGTTTTTATACCATTTTTCAGGTTATTATAATTTTAGTCAGAATCTTTTAACAGCATCCGCAAACGCAGTACGCAGATTTGTTAGCGATTTAAAAACTAGCACAGAACAGCTTTCCGAATTGAAATTTATGCATTTTTGGCTGAGTTATGATATTTGGAAAACACTGATTATTTAAAAAAATTGCATGTTTTTATACCTTTTTGTAGAGTATTAGTATTAATCAGAAGCTTATAACACAATGAAGGAATCATTTCCGACCCTATTAATCATATATATTCTTGATCAGAATGAACAGCTAAATCGATCTAGCCATGTCTTGTGGGAAAATAAATTGTTGGATATTTTTCCAAAATTTCAAAAAACGATAAGGGGTTACATCATTAAAATTGTCAAAAATTGGCCAAAAATTGAATTTTTTAAATTCAAAAACTGAGTATGAAGATTGGCCCTATAAAAATTAGCACAGAACCGCTTTCCGAATTGAAATTAATGCATTTTTGGCTTAATTATGATGTTTGAAAAACATTGATTATTTAATAAAATTGCCTGTTTTTATACCATTTTTCAGGTTATTATAATTTTAGTCAGAATCTTTTAACAGCATCCGCAAACGCAGTACGCAGATTTGTTAGCGATTTAAAAACTAGCACAGAACAGCTTTCCGAATTGAAATTTATGCATTTTTGGCTGAGTTATGATATTTGGAAAACACTGATTATTTAAAAAAATTGCATGTTTTTATACCTTTTTGTAGAGTATTAGTATTAATCAGAAGCTTATAACACAATGAAGGAATCATTTCCGACCCTATTAATCATATATATTCTTGATCAGAATGAACAGCTGAATCGATCTAGCCATGTCTTGTGGGAAAATAAATTGTTGGAATTTTTCCAAAATTTCAAAAAACGATAAGGGGTTACATCATTAAAATTGTCAAAAATTGGCCCAAAATTGAATTTTTTAAATTAAAAACTGAGTATGCAGATTTGTTGGCGCTATAAAATTAGCACAGAACCGCTTTCCGAATTGAAATTAATGCATTTTTGGCTTAATTATGATGTTTGAAAAACATTGATTATTTAATAAATTGCCTGTTTTTATACCATTTTTCAGGTTATTATAATTTTAGTCAGAATCTTTTAACAGCATCAGCAAACGCAGTACGCAGATTTGTTAGCGATTTAAAAACTAGCACAGAACCGCTTTCCGAATTGAAATTAATGCATTTTGGCTTAATTATGATGTTTGAAAAACATTGATTATTTAATAAAATTGCCTGTTTTATACCATTTTTCAGGTTATTATAATTTTAGTCAGAATCTTTTAACAGCATCAGCAAACGCAGTACGCAGATTTGTTAGCGATTTAAAAACTAGCACAGAACAGCTTTCCGAATTGAAATTTATGCATTTTTGGCTGAATTATGATATTTGGAAAACACTGATTATTTAAAAAAATTGCATGTTTTTATACCTTTTTGTAGAGTATTAGTATTAATCAGAAGTTATAACACAATGAAGGAATCATTTCCGACCCTATTAATCATATATATTCTTGATCAGAATGAACAGCTGAATCGACCTAGCCATGTCTTGTTGGAAAATAAATTGTTGGATATTTTTCCAAAATTTCAAAAAACGATAAGGGGTTACATCATTAAAATTGTCAAAAATTGGCCAAAAATTGAATTTTTTAAATTCAAAAACTGAGTATGCAGATTTGTTAGCGCTATACAAATTAGCACAGAACCGCTTTCCGAATTGAAATTAATGCATTTTTGGCTTAATTATGATGTTTGAAAAACATTGATTATTTAATAAAATTGCCTGTTTTTATACCATTTTTCAGTTATTATAATTTTAGTCAGAATCTTTTAACAGCATCAGCAAACGCAGTACGCAGATTTGTTAGCGATTTAAAAACTAGCACAGAACAGCTTTCCGAATTGAAATTTATGCATTTTTGGTTGAATTATGATATTTGGAAAACACTGATTATTTAAAAAAATTGCATGTTTTTATACCTTTTTGTAGAGTATTAGTATTAATCAGAAGCTTATAACACAATGAAGGAATCATTTCCGGCCCTATTAATCATATATATTCTTGATCAGAATGAACAGCTGAATCGACCTAGCCATGTCTTGTTGGAAAATAAATTGTTGGATATTTTTTCCAAAATTTCAAAAAACGATAAGGGGTTACATCATTAAAATTGTCAAAAATTGGCCAAAAATTGAATTTTTTAAAGTCAAAAACTGAGTATGCAGATTTGTTAGCGCTATAAAAATTAGCACAGAACCGCTTTCCGAATTGAAATTAATGCATTTTTGGCTTAATTATGATGTTTGAAAAACATTGATTATTTAATAAAATTGCCTGTTTTTATACCATTTTTCAGGTTATTATAATTTTAGTCAGAATCTTTTAACAGCATCAGCAAACGCAGTACGCAGATTTGTTAGCGATTTAAAAACTAGCACAGAACAGCTTTCCGAATTGAAATTTATGCATTTTTGGCTGAATTATGATATTTGGAAAACACTGATTATTTAAAAAAATTTCATGTTTTTATACCTTTTTGTAGAGTATTAGTATTAATCAGAAGCTTATAACACAATGAAGGAATCATTTCCGACACTATTAATCATATATATTCTTGATCAGAATGAACAGCTGAAACGACCTAGCCATGTCTTGTGGGAAAATAAATTGTTGGATATTTTTGCAAAATTTAAAAAAACGATAAGGGGTTACATCATTAAAATTGTCAAAAATTGGCCAAAAATTGAATTTTTTAAATTCAAAAACTGAGTATGCAGATTTGTTAGCGCTATAAAAATTAGCACAGAACCGCTTTCCGAATTGAAATTAATGCATTTTTGGCTTAATTATGATGTTTGAAAAACATTGATTATTTAATAAAATTGCCTGTTTTTATACCATTTTTCAGGTTATTATAATTTTAGTCAGAATCTTTTAACAGCATCAGCAAACGCAGTACGCAGATTTGTTAGCGATTTAAAAACTAGCACAGAACAGCTTTCCGAATTGAAATTTATGCATTTTTGGCTGAATTATGATATTTGGAAAACACTGATTATTTAAAAAAATTGCATGTTTTTATACCTTTTTGTAGAGTATTAGTATTAATCAGAAGCTTATAACACAATGAAGGAATCATTTCCGACCCTATTAATCATATATATTCTTGATCAGAATGAACAGCTGAATCGATCTAGCCATGTCTTGTGGGAAAATAAATTGTTGGATATTTTTGCAAAATTTAAAAAACGATAAGGGGTTACATCATTAAAATTGAATTTTTTAAATTCAAAAACTGAGTATGCAGATTTGTTAGCGCTATAAAAATTAGCACAGAACCGCTTTCCGAATTGAAATTAATGCATTTTTGGCTTAATTATGATGTTTGAAAAACATTGATTATTTAATAAAATTGCCTGTTTTTATACCATTTTTCAGGTTATTATAATTTTAGTCAGAATCTTTTAACAGCATCAGCAAACACAGTACGCAGATTTGTTAGCGATTTAAAAACTAGCACAGAACAGCTTTCCGAATTGAAATTTATGCATTTTTGGCTGAATTATGATATTTGGAAAACACTGATTATTTAAAAAAATTCATGTTTTTATACCTTTTTGTAGAGTATTAGTATTAATCAGAAGCTTATAACACAATGAAGGAATCATTTCCGACCCTATTAATCATATATATTCTTGATCAGAATAAACAGCTGAATCGACCTAGCCATGTCTTGTTGGAAAATAAATTGTTGGATATTTTTGCAAAATTTCAAAAAACGATAAGGGGTTACATCATTAAAATTGTCAAAAATTGGCCAAAAATTGAATTTTTTAAATTCAAAAACTGAGTATGCAGATTTGTTAGCGCTATAAAAATTAGCACAGAACCGCTTTCCGAATTGAAATTAATGCATTTTTGGCTTAATTATGATGTTTGTTTTTAACAGCATCAGCAAACGCAGTACGCAGATTTGTTAGCGATTTAAAAACTAGCACAGAACAGCTTTCCGAATTGAAATTTATGCATTTTTGGCTGAATTATGATATTTGGAAAACTCTGATTATTTAAAAAAATTACATGTTTTTATACCTTTTTGTAGAGTATTAGTATTAATCAGAAGCTTATAACACAATGAAGGAATCATTTCCGACCCTATTAATCATATATATTCTTGATCAGAATGAACAGCTGAATCGACCTAGCCATGTCTTGTTGGAAAATAAATTGTTGGATATTTTTCCAAAATTTCAAAAAACGATAAGGGGTTACATCATTAAAATTGTCAAAAATTGGCCAAAAATTGAATTTTTTAAATTCAAAAACTGAGTATGCAGATTTGTTAGCGCTATAAAAATTAGCACAGAACCGCTTTCCGAATTGAAATTAATCATTTTTGGCTTAATTATGATGTTTGAAAAACATTGATTATTTAATAAAATTGCCTGTTTTTATACCATTTTTCAGGTTATTATAATTTTAGTCAGA